CAGTGCAGTTTCCCGCCAAGTAGAAGGGTTGTTGATAATGCCATCATAGTGAAAGAAGCAATCCACTCTTTCAAACGCATGGCAGGCCGCATGGGCAACATGATGCTCAAACTAGACCTTGAAAAAGCGCTTGACATGCTTAAATGGTCTTTCATCCGCAAATTGCTCCACAACTTAGGGTTCCCCACAAAGCTTATCAACCTAATCATGAATTGTATCTCTTCCTATACCATTTCTATCATGATAAACAGAAAACTCACAAATTTCTTTGAACCATCTAGAGGTATACGCCAAGGAGATACGCTCTCTTCCTACATTTTTATTATTTGTATGCAGTCATTATCCCATCAAATTGACCAAGCAACAGCCAATGGAGACTGGACACCAGTCAAGATTAGTAGATCTGGACTGCCAGTCTCTCACCTATTTTTTACGGACGACCTTATATTATTCTCACGCGCTGACCTTCATAACACCAGCTCTATTATAAATATATTTAATAAGCTACACCGCCAGTCGGGGCAAAAAATTAACTTCTCCAAATCCAAAGTCTTCTTTTCAAAAAATGTGTTCATCAACACACAAGATTGTTTGACTACAGCTCTAAACATATACAAGTCCACTAACTTTGAAAAACACCTTGGTTTTCGGCTAACAAATAGCTTTCCTAAAGCCAAAGATTACCAATTCATTATCAATAAAATAAACAATAAACTCTTCGGTTAGAAAGCGAAAACTCTCAACATGGCGGGAAGAACTACCCTACTACACTCAGTCCTAGCCACTATTCCAAACTACTCCATGCAAAGCAATCTATTACCAACCTCCACTAGGAATCACATAGACTGTATCCAACGAAAATTTGTGTGGGGATCAATTCCGGGAAAAAAAAAAGTCCACCTTGCCAACTGGGAGACTGTAACCACTCCCAAATCACTAGGAGGGCTGGGACTATATAAAACTGCTAATAAAAATCATGCTATGCTAGCAGGGTTACTTTGGTGTTTTCATAAGAGTGCAAACTCTTTATGGGTCAAAATACTTCAAGCAAAATATATTCAGCATAGACAAGAAGGGACATATTTGGGCAAGCCAGTTGATTCATACATATGGAAAAGTATGACCAAAGTCACTGGCCTCTTCCAAGCATGACTCTCGTGGAACATAGGGGATGGAACAAACAACAACCTCTGAAACGACAAGTGGCTCCCAAACAATAGTTGTCTGCGCCACACGATCCAGGGCCGCCTACACCACATAGAGGAACAATTGACAGTATCATAATTCTTTCAAACCACTCGTGGACTCTGGGAAGATTATCATTGTCCTTACATCATGATACAGTAGAATTAATCAACCACACTCATATCCCATTCTCCACGAACAAACCTGACCAATCTTTCTAGAACCAAACATCCATTGGCAATTTTACTACTAAATCAGCCTATCTGCTCCAACTCCATATCACCAACCAACTACCATCACCCACACATGGAAATTACTTTTGGATTTGGCACTTCAAGTGCTTGAATAAACACAAATTCTTCTTGTGGTTACTTGTTTACCACAAGCTCCCTACTAGATATTACCTGTACCAGAAAAAAAATACTCCAATCACACTTCTGTCAATTCTGCTCAAATATTGTGGAAGACATAAATCACATTTTCTTTGCATGCAAACACTCCTGTCATTTATGGCCTTTGTTCAACTTACGCATACCTCAACCACACAACCTTGCCAACTGGCTGAAGGATAGGTGCACCAAAGACACTACCATCCACACACCAAATGCCTCCTTCAAAGCACCATACTCCACCATACTGTCGTTCGTCCTCTGGAACATATGGATTAATAGGAATTCAAATCTTTTCAACCATACTTCAGCCACTACGTGCAAAAAAGAAAATCATGCTACAAGTAGCAGAATTCCTATCACTCACTCAGACCATAACAACTCCAAAAATACGGCTTCAAGTCCCAGTAAGGTGGCTACCACCATCTACGAGTCATTACAAGCTAAACATTGACGGAGCTTATGATCCAACTCACCAAACCAGTGGTATTGGGGGAATCATTAGAGACCACAGCGGCTCATGGGTTGTGGGCTTTGCGCAGAAAGCGACTGCAAATTCTACCATACACGATGAGATGCTCGCACTACTAGCCGGACTGGAACTCTCCTTCACAAAAAATTTCATTTCAATTATAGTGGAAATAGATTCGCAAGTATTATGTAATTTATTTAAGGTTGAACAACATCGATTCTCACATCTTCTTAATGATTGCATTTTTTTTCTTGGTGTTGTTGGATTGGAGGTTATAACCCATATATATATATGAAAAGCAACTCTATGGCTGACGCTCTAGCAAAGTACGAACATTCCATGCAATCAACAACAACGGAGGAAGACAACACAATATCCTTGGAAACTCCTGCGAACTTTGTTTTAAATGCTTTCAATAAAGATAGATTGGGGACAATCGCTATTCGATCAACCCCTATGTTATGTAATAACTAGACTTCTCCTGTTCTTTAATATAAAGTATTCCTTTCTTTAGCAACAAAAAAAACAGGTAATTAAGCTCTTCTTTTCCACTAGCCTCAGCCTGAAAATATGCAAAGGCGGATATATCTGCACCCAGTCTATTTATTACGGTGCAAACAAGTCAATGCTTCAGAGTTGGTCTCGTACTCGACTGAGCAGAAGTACTATACATAACCAAGTTCAATTTTTCTCATGCTGTTAACAAGTCCTCAACTCTTATATTCATAAATTCAGCATGTTCTTCAAGGTTATTTATGATTGTAAATTAATTTGTTATTTGAAAGTTTCAGATCGTCCTCGTTCCTGTTGTAATTCTTCATGCAGTTCATGAATTTTCTTATCCTTCTCTTCCTCTAAGATAAAGAATCTATAAAAAAAAAATCAGGAAAAGAAAAAGAATTTTCAATAGATCGAAAAAACAAAGAAAGGTTGACAACTTTAGAAAAGCACAATGTGGTTGCAATGTTGCTTGCAAAATATTTCCTTGGAATGAACGCAATCAGTGAAATTTTTGAGTCAAAAAACACATGTTTCGGTAAAAGTTCGAGAAAACTTACTAAAAAAAAAAATAATAATAATAATAATAATAATAATAATAATAATAATAATGTTTGTATATTGTCCAAGCCAACAAAACTATTATATATATTTTGAAACCTGATTGAGCAAACTATAAGGGGCGGTTTTCTAGAAAGAAATTTCTATTGCACAAAAAGTTTTTGGTTTACTGTTTGAAGCTTACATTGCACATTAACTAACTATCTAAGTGGCACGCTGGCACTTATTGTTAAAGTGAAGTGATTTTGGTTTTAACTTTTGGAAAATTAGTTTTGGAAAAGGTTCTTAAAAATGTTTTGAAATTAATTTATAAATGTATAGATAGTATCGAAATATATACTGTTTAAAAAGTATTACTTATACTACCATTTACCGTTTGTGTTGCCTTATCATATACTAATGTAGTCTTCTAATCATTAAAACATAAAAATAAAAAATAAAAACATTAGGCTTTGAGTTCTGGTGAAATAGAAAGTAAATTAATTGTTCCAAGTAAGATTATTGCAAAAAATTCCAATAAATCTTGGTCAAATGTAAAATTAAGGAAGATGGGAACAATTTTCCTTTCTCGGAATTAACTAGTCCCTTTTTTCATAAGTATCTCAAAACTCTTACTCCATATGTTTTACTTCTCTCACCAAGTAAATATTATTGTTAGCCTTTAATACACAATAATATTATTGACACACTATCATAATATTTTATTCTATTTTTCTAAGCCAATGTTGACACTAATACTCGTCAAACTATAACTCATTTACTTAACATTCCTCATGCCAATACCTTTGGCAAATACCTGGGCCTACCAATTACCACTCTTCAACCTAAATCCACTGGCTACCAAAATATTCTAAATAGAGTTAACAATAAATTATCAGATCAAAATTCCTCACTCTAACGTGGCAAATCATGGACTCAACCTTATCTTCAGGATGTTCAAGTTTTTGACAACCCCCGCCTTTTATTTTTTCGCACTTAGATTTTGATGCAATTGGAACTAGAACTGCACGTTCAGTTCCCAACGCTGTACTTTGTTAACTTTCCTTAGTATTAATGTTCTTCTTCTTTCCAGAAAAAAATGATATTTTATTCTATACCTCGTAAGATTACCATATGTCACTATTTTTATATCCAACTAAACAGTACAAATAATCATTTCAATATCCAATATATATGATGGTTGAAAATAGCAGATAGCCAGATACTCAATAGATTAGTTGCTGTACGTACACAAGCTAATTTCGAGAATGCCGTTTTAAGTATAATTTGATATACTTACTCATGAGTAATTATATAAATCTATGACTAGTCTAAAGTATTGCCACAATTCGACTTGTAAATGAGATTGGATGACTATGGTTGCTTGATCACTTAACAGGAGCATTCTGCAGTGAGATAGTTTGATACACTTTTCTCTTTTGTAATAAAATTTTGTTGGATACTACCTGAAGGAAGTTAGACAGGAAGTTACGTTAGCATTGTGAACATGCAACATGTATCCAGCTTGAAAATTACATTAATATTTGTTTCTAAGCAACCCTTGTACATTGTACTGATAAGCAATCAGTACATGCATTTATATTCACTTAGCTCCATTGCTTTCTTCTCAAGCTTATTTAAACTCCCGAAGTAGCTTCTTCTTCTTGTTTACTTGCATGTAACATTTTTCTCTCTCTTAAATTTCCAATAGTTTTAAGTGAGAGATTTCTTTCATTTAACTTTATCTCAATTGATGTCTCAAATTCTTCTAGATTGCAGTTACAAGATGAATATTAACAGAACTATAACTGGTATGAACAAATTTTCTGAGGAACTGAAATTTGAAAACCTCATTTCAATTCCAAATGCTAACATTAAGAAATTCAAAAACACCCAACTTCAATAAGGTGCAGAAATATCATCAAGAACCAACCCCTCTAATCATCATATAACATAATACATATGGAAGTACAACTTCTGAACAGGCTCCTGATTCGTGCGCAAGAAATTGTAAGACTTAAGTACAGAAATCATGTACCAGGAGTTCAATTCAGAAACTCCCACATCAATCAAAGGCGAAAAAGTAATGCAAATTTATTTGACAAATCTTCCTCTCTCTCTCTCTCTTGAATTGCTTGGTGGCTGCACCCATCCTCTTCGCTAGAACTTAATGAAGCCGCTGCCCAGCCAAAAGGACAAGCTTATATCAGCTTTCAACTCATGACTTCAGTTACACCAACTTTGGCTTTAACCAGTTCCATCATAATCTCCTTCAAAAGGGGTATAAATTCTAAGTGGCAACACTACTGCTAGGTTTTCTACACATGCAAGACAACGAACAAATCACAAATCAAGATTCAGGTTGCTGTAGAGGTTTTGGAAAGGGTGTGCATGTCCAGATCTTTACACATGTAAAAAGACAAAGGCAGCACTTTGCAAGTTTGCTAGCGGCAGGAAATATTCCCAGGATGAAGCTGAAAACAAAAGATTAAATAATAAATAAGAGAATCAACTCCCACCAAAAGGTTTCTTATTTACAGCACATGGCAGTACATTTCATGTTGATAATCTATCAGAAACTTATTCTCTACACTATCCTACACAGGACCAATATATGGCCTATGGAAGTCGCTCTTTTATCCTGTAGGAAGCAAATTCCCAGTGTTGTTCAAAACCAGTGGTTTCGCCTATATCCCAAAATATATCAAAACTAGAAGAGAAGAATCACCAGTAATGAGTTTCTAGAAAATAGTAATTTCAAATCAAAGAGAAATGCATAGTGATGGTGGGAATGGCAGCAGTTGGGCAACCCTCTATCCGTTGGCCGCGAAGCTGAGATTTTCTGTCTTCTTTTGATTGAGAGCTTAATTTTGCATTAATTTCTCTTAAAGATATGAACCACGCCAATTTTAATAACAAGGATAAAGAGCTTAATTTTGCGTTGTCTTGAAAGAGATTGACGTCCTTATGTACCACCAAAAATTCTGAGGGTTTACAAAGCTAATGACTTGACCGATCTTCCCACTTAACAGATAGATGTTCCGCATCACGGGCAAAAAAAAACAAAGAATGCACCTTCTTTACTGTTTCTAACAAGTGAAGTCCCAACTCAAATGAATTACAGCAGTAGAGATGCACTGAAATTCTTTACTTTACCATCCAAAAAATGAAGAAAGAAATAACAGATGCAACGGGAATTCATAGAGAGCTCAATGACAGGGGAAAATGAATTATTTGCACATAAACTGGTTACAATCTCAGAGGATAGACTGCTTTTTGCGTTGCTCTGCAACCTACTCAACCCTCCTATATTCAAGGTGTGCAATAGGCTATGTTATGTGAAACTCACAAAAGTGGAGTTGCATTGAAAATGAGCACATATGCTAAAATTGACAACCTAGAGAGAATGTATCAATTAAAAAACAAAAATACTTACCCTACTTATGGTGTCTACTGTGATTTGAAAGCTCCTGTTTTTTAGCTTCAAGTTCTTTAAGAATTCTACGAACAGCTTGAACTTTTGTAGACATATGTTCACTATGGCTATCCACGTCTTTCATGAGACTAAGCAGCTGTTCTCGGTATGCTGCACTTAGTCGTTTCTTGATCCGAAGTTCTGCTGTTAATTCCTGAATTTTTTTATCTTTCTCATCCTACAAGAATTACACAGACGGATCAATTTATGACAGTCACAAACAAACCTTAGTAATCATTAAATGATTGAATATTACTTCCAAGCACAAATACCATCCCCTGAAAATTACTAAAAATAACAACAAATACCATACAAAACGATGATAAGGAGAGTGTAATTTAGGTTCAAAAAGTGTAAAATGGGAAATCATCAGCGATTAGTTATTGCAGAAGTTGGCTTCAAGTTGCCTGACTGCTTAAAGTTGAAAACAATTTTTATGTAAGTTCTTCAAATACCTATAGTCAATTTGTGCTTTGTACTACCCAACTAATCTCTTGTCAAACTACATCAGATTAATATGGTACTTAGTCATATATTATGCATAGAAATAACCACCAACTTCCTCTCTATAACTAAACCCTGCAAACTAGCAGAATTGATTCTATGAAGGTATCTCACAAGGTTAGAGCAACTTTTCTTTTTCCATATCTTTATCTTTTCTTTAACTATAATCATATTTTTTCATTCACTTTCACTTCTTTCGTCCCTACCAAGAAGCATGGGAAAGGTGAAAAGTTTTTAAAAATGGAAAAATTAAAAAAAGGAAAAGTTTGCAGGACGGTGATTAAAGATAAACAAAAAGTGACGGAAGCACCTACATACAGATTTTATAGTCACAGATACTCACTCTTATCCACTATCACCAGTGACCAAGATGCTCCATTAACTCATGTACTAACAAAAAATTTGAAGAATATTTCTTGTGTTATTCTGCTGAGAGTCTGAGACCATTTACCAATGCATTTAATATATCTCTTTCTGCGTTAAACTGGATTCCAAGCAAAACAACCATTGCTTAAGCATATATGAGTAGTACCAGAGATGGCACATCCTAAGTCCAATTTTGACAACCCAGACAAAATAACTGTGAAACATGGAAAGTTTACGGCTGTAATGCTACTGCAGATAATCTCCGGCAGTCCGTTGAGCATATCAAATCAGACTTTCTTGAACAGTTGAATTTTACAGGGGCACACTTATTGAAAATTTAGAAAAAGAGCCGGATTTTTTTTACTAAAAGGACTATTAAAGAGATTGGGCAGACAAATCAACAGATTCTTTAATGCCTCATGCGTACAGACAAACACATCTAAAGTGGATATCTCATTGTGGCGGCTGAAGAAAATTAGCAAAAAAGGAGCCCAAAGACGATAAAAGAGAGAGGTTAAGGTAATTGAAACAAAAACTTCTATTACATGTTAATGCAAAGGTAAGACTATGAAGCTTACAAAAGTTGGACGTCTCTTGGAAGGTGATATAACCAAGGGATGATTGTGGTCCCTAACAAATTTTCTGACCACCCACGTACCGGGCTTCTCTCTTTTGACTAGGATCATTGCCGTACAACCATCACGCCGTCTATCTCGCTTTTGATTTGCAATGCTTCCTGACCTTTGATTATCTGGTATCCCTCTACAACCAAGTCCGCGTGATATAATTGACCCATCACGCTCTGACTTGCGAGATGACAGAACACGGGTTATAAATCCTGCCCGTCCAGCGTACTCATCGTAGTAAGCTCTGGCAGCTTCTTCAGATTCAAATATCATACCCTCATATGGTTCTTGGGTTCGGTCAGCTTCAGAAGTACTAACTTGTCCTATTGCAGATGATTCTAATCTTCTAGCACCACTGTCCTCTGAAATTTGCACATCCACTGAGAAACAAACAGATAAGTGAACATTCAGCTGGCAGGCTTTCTGTGCAAAGATTGACAGGACACAAAAAGAAACAATTTGTGAATTGTGACCTTTCACAAACAAGCCTAACAAGCCTTGCAAGTTGCAAGGAAGAAAATTGGTCGAAAATAGCTTTCGCATTTATTTTTTTTGATAAAGGTGGTGCCCGGGCTAGCTTGCACACACCTAGACTAATTCCACCGGGTACTTGCTAGCTCTCACCAGCACAGGCACGGAGCAACTTGTCCACCAAGGCTTAGACAAATGGGAAGAAATAACCAAGTATTTTGTCTATAGCTTCTGCAGCTATTTTGGTAGAATCAATCAAACAGGACAATGTGTGACAGAATGATGCAAGTAGTTGCTTCTTCACTGCCCATTTTCAAACTTAAAAATTGTAAAAGAAAAGGGTGTCAACATGCAATATGCACAAACGAATGCAAATTCGTTCAACTGAGATTGGAAACAAGAAAGCCTTTTTATTTGTACAAACATTAGTAACCTCAAAACCTAGAAATTTAAGCCTGAAACCCCTTTGTTCCAATCCCTGAAGACAGAAAGTTGTTCTTTTCTTTTTCAATAAGTGGGCAACACAATAACTTTAACCCCAGAAATTCTTCATAATAAATTTTCAACACCAGAAATTCCAGAAACCCAAGAAGGTTAAAATTACGAACCGAATTATATCTAAATTAAGCATCATACAGCTTCCCTTTCCCCATTATGAAAGCTCCTGAAGTTTAGCAGCAATTGGACAGAACACAAATTCCAGAAAACTAAACATTTATTAAATCAGGGGCGAAATAATTGAAAACATATGGGGAACAGCAGGTAATTATGTAGACATAACAGAAAGTTTTGATCTTTCTGAAGAAGTTGCAATTATTGCCGAATGTATTCTGTTGAGCTAATTCTACACATGTTATCTCAATTACGTAGACAAACAAATATTGATCGAAACTGTAAGAGAGAAGAAAGACTTACTAGTCATCATCCGTTGATTAAAAATGAGTGTTTTGCGGAAAATGAGTGTACTATTTCTGAAGAAGAAATGTTCTAATTCTTCCTGCTCCTTTTTCTTTTCTTTTTCTTTTCGTTTCTTCCTTTTACGTTTTCGCCTTCCCTCTCGTTTCAGAAAATAGAAATCAAGTAGGAGTACTATAACTTTGTCTCTAATATAAAAAGGGTAAAATGGAAAAAAGTTGATTTTTTTTCTGGAAAAAAAAGTTGAACTCCATATACTTATTATAGATTAAAGTTCTTTTTTTCACATAAGAAAATATAATGAAGGTCTAATGGAACGTTCAATTATGAAATTCTGAAATATAAGGTCTGATGGAACAATTATGAAATTTTGAAATCCAATTTTAATGCGTAACAAATATATCTTTATATATACTATTATTACTAAAGTTACAATTAATATGCACTCTTACCATAATTTATTACTTAAACATGATAACTTAATATGATTTGACGTAAATACCGACACGAGTTAGTTCTTACTTAAACTGCCAGAAATAAGATAAAAACCTTCTTTCCGATCTAAGTTTTTCTCCTTGAGAAAGAAGATTTATTCCTTAAAGGGCACCCAGATAATTCACAGGATCATCAGACTTAATATTTATATGAAAAATCATTTATTATATAATTCTGCATGCAAAAATAAACAAGAATACCCAAGTTACTTTCACTCATATGCTTGCTATTGTTTCTATTAGTATAGTAGTATTCACAGTTTATTTTGAACGCTAATTCCTCACATAACTCGAAGAAACAACTCGAGAACTCCAAAATCTCCCACTTGAATACCATTCTCTATCTTTTTGTTTCCTCTATTCCTAACTCCTGAGTATGTCTCAATGTAATCTTTGAAACTTGTAAGAATTACAGAAACAACAACAACAATAGCATACTCAGTGTGATCCCATAAGTGGGGTATGGGAAGGGTGGGGTATACACAGACCCTACCTCTACCTTGTGTGAGGTAGAGAGGTTGTTTCCGATAGATAAGAATTACAGAAATGAAAGCTGAAATACAGTTTACTGAATCTACATGAAATGGACTTGAAAATTTTACAAAAAGGAAAAAGGTTCATTCACAGGACATCTAACCTCCCGAAAGAATGTTACAATGGTTGCACCAGAAAGAGACATTCTGTACCTGTTGCTCCTACAAGGCTACAGTCCCACAAGTCTACCCAAAAAGGAAAATGGAAAGAAAAAATATGAAAACAAGATATGAACTGGTTTCATAATTTCATGATCTTCTCAAAGAATAAGAGAGGGGACAAAAGGTAAGCCAAGATAGAAGTCATTATGATCTTTACTTAACTTAGGGTTCTACACTCTGCTATTTCTCTACTCTAATATCAACAAAGGCAAATCATGCTAAAACTATCTATGATGATGTTGATCTCTAGACTCCATCTCCCTTACATTGTGTACAATATCTTGGATCTTCTTGGACAGAGATTGGTTGTGCTCCTCAATGTGCTCGAATATCATTTCCAAATGCCTCTTATATGTTGCTGATCTCTTTTTCTCAGCTGCCAGTTGTTGAGATAGCTCCCGGATTTTGTCATGCTCATTCTACAGAAAGAAGTTGATAAACCGAAACAACTGAAGTCATGTAAAGGCAGTTCCTTGAAGATGAAATGAAGCATACAATCTAAGTTTTCTGTGCATCAACAGACAAAAACAATAGTTTTAAAACTATTGCTATAAGCAGCAATTAATAAATCGCTAAAATGCTGGTTACTTCAGCAACCAATCCCAACATTAACCAGCATACTTTTGCCAGCTCTACTGTTATTTAAGAATTCCACCTCAGCCCCCCCACCCCCCAATTTATATGATCTAGTGATCTAGTTTTACATGCCCTCGCAATGATAATTTGTATGTAATGACAAATCTACCATTTTTAAGTATTTGGAGATAACATTTCTGAATTTGTATCTGATGTTATCACTTAATCAGTACTTTAAGTGTATTTCCAACCAAAAATACAACCCTCATGATTTCTAAAAATATTGTTTCTCCACATACCAAAAACAGCCAAAAAGGAATACATTTCCAGGTCATCTAACAACAATATAAATGATTTGGAAATTCAAGGATAAGGTAACACACGAACATATACCCTGTTCACAGATGAAGACACATAAGAAAACAGTTTACAAACTGAATAACCATTGGCCAATTAACAAGGCATCATTTTTTACAACTCTATTCCTAAAAGGGAAAGATGGACTGCCATATATTGAACGGTAATTGCATCAAAGAATAATCGATAGTCAAACGACAGAGAAGGATATCTCTTGCCAAATTTCTCCATTTTCTTAGAGTAATGATTTTCTCTTGCCGGATGTCTCTAAAAACTATATTAGTGATTCCATCAAAATGTAAGCTCTTGGTGAGCGGATAGTGAAGGGGCCATAAAGAAAGCAAAATGAGCAACTATTTACAACATGGCATCGCTCGTGGGGATCAAAAAGCTACGCCACCCTTTTGTACCAAGATAGAGGTTGCATTCTTAGATGTAAGGTACGAATTCCATCTTTCCTTTTTTATCTTTACAACATTTTGTTCTCACCTATGTTGCCTTCAAAATCCTTGTTGCACCTGTGTCTATCTGACACAATATGGGTGTGGGATCCCACTGCACTGCACTGGTCAACCTAACTTTGGTTCTTTGACTACATCCATGGCCGAGAAACTCCTATAGAGCGTTACAAGCAGTGTTGTCAAAGGCGAGCTTAAGCCCTAAAGCGAGGCTCAAAACATGTTGAGCGCTTCGCCTCGCTTTGTGGGCGCTTCAGTGTCCCATCAAGGCTCTAAGGCATACTTTTCCTTGCCAATAAGTGTGATCCTGAAAAGGTGACACTAAACAATTGATATTTCACTTTATCGTAAAAATATTTCAATTTCTTTGTCTATATATTTGTTATTTATGCTTATAATTATTGGTCTTGGAGTACATATACATATTTTTACTTTTTCTCCAGTTGCGCCTTTTTTCATTAAAGTCCATGTTTTATTTGCGCTTTGCGCTTAAAGCCCCAATGGACCTTAGAGCTTTTTTGCGCTTTTCTCCTTTGATAACACTGTTTACAAGGAACCTTGAGTTGATTGGATATTTGGTTTGATTTTGAGTTTATGTCATATATAATTCACATAAAGTACTAGAACACTTTGCTATTATACGAGATATTATGGATAAAAGATTAAGCATTTACAAAGAATTTAATTACACTAGCTTTAATTTATTGATTGTCTGAAATGTATACTTATATATGTAGCAATACACATTTATTGGTTTTATCAAAACATCCGTACCTGTACTCCTATCCATATCCATGAATCCTAAGATTTAGGTGATGATGAATCCAACTTCCAGATCCGCACCCATATCGGGTGCCCATACCCGTAGAAAAGTAACATATGTTCTTGTAACCACAAGTTTTTGAACCAAAATGGAACTATCCTTTACATCTTTTCTGACAGCATACATTGATTAACTTGTCTAATATAAAGGCACCTAAAAGAGTTGGCATACCATTATAACAGTAGAAATATTGAAAAAGGGAAGGATAACGTTTAGCTGGTGTTGCCTTTGTGAGGAAAATGGTGAGGAAGTGGACTGTAAACGCACATTGTATATTGACACCGACTTGGTGTATATCGATGAATTGACTTATAAATCAAAGCGACACAAAAATATGAAATAAGACCAAAGCAGCTTATATCCTATTTATGAGAAAAGAACATTATATAAATCATGAGTTGGTAGTTATATTTACAGTTTCACAAAGAACAAAGCATGCCCTTGTTCATCTTTTTACAAGGATTCTATTAGCCTGTTTGGCCAAGCTTATTTTTGGGCCAAACGTGGTTTTTTCCAAAAATTAGGGTGTTTGGCCAAGCTTTTAGAAGGAAAAAAAGTGTTTTTGAGGAGAAGCAGAAGCAGTTTCTGAGAAGCAGAAAAAAGTAGCTTCTCTCCAAAAGCACTTTTGAGAAAAATACACTTAGAATCAGTTTTTAAAAGCTTGGCCAAACACTAATTACTGCTCAAAAGTGCTTTTCAAATTAATTGGTCAAACACAAACTGCTTATCGCCAAAAGCACTTTTTGAAAAGTACTTTTGAGAAAAGCACTTCTCAAAATAAGCTTATTTTAAAAGCTTGGCCAAACAGGCTAATATATCTTGTATGGATTCAGCTTCATTTACATAGTTCTCTTTACACGAAAAGTGAAATAATAGTATATAATTCATCTTTATTCTCTGAATTGACCGGAATCTATTTTATATAGTAATACAGACTAGTACTTTATAAAATAGTTGAATTTATCAAAAAAAGAACTAGTGCTTCATAAAATAGTTGAGGATGAGAGAATATAATGGTTACATATTGTACAAATACTTGGATTAATGATCTTTAGAGGCTTGATGTGAACCCACCCCATATATTGACAAGGACTTGGTGCTCTTAACAGGATAATTTTGACTTAGAAATAAACATAGCACTAAAAATATGTAAATTAGTACAAAGAAAGCAGCATAAGATAATCCACAATTCCACATTAACTGGGTTTTTTTATGAAGTAAGATGTTATATTACTGGCATCAAGAAGATGCAAAACATTACAAAAGAGGTTGGTTAGCTCCATTTACACAAAAATACAGTTCTAGTCAGGGAGCTAACCAAAAACCTAAGGTTGGCAATCAAGCCAAAAACAAAGAGCTAATAAAATCTAGAAATGGAATTAACTCATTTACAGGGGAAAGGTTGCTCTAACCATATAGATTCCTAAGGCACTTTGCTTTCAGGGAGCTGTTGGGAGTTCATATGCCATCAAAGCATCTGTGATTCCTTTGTCAGATTAACTGGTACTATATAAAATAGTTGAAGATGTGAAAAAATAATGGTGTGAATCTAGATGTCAGATCTGTCATCATCTAAATCTTACGATTCGTGGGTACGAATTACGGAAAGAGTATAGATGCAAGTCTTGAGATGCAGGTAACAAATATACAAATATATGTCAGTAATCAACTGAAGTCATTGAACTAAAACAACCATAAATAAATTCTTCTTAAATATCTCATTTTTTTTCCAGTATATATTCTACAATATCATAGTTTCCCAATACTTTAAATGAATATTATAAACATACATGCATCCCCAGGGCTTAGTTCAAGTGGCAAAGATTGACGGAGTAGTGATTTAGGTCACAGGTTTGAGCGCATCTCCATGCAACTAAGACTATTTAGGTAGTGAAAGGTAGAGGGGCAGGCCTATTATCCACAAGTTTCGAACGCTAGGGCTGGTCCTAAGGGTTGACCGCAGACGGATCTCTTGGTCACCAAGAAATATATATATATATATATAAAGGGAGAGAGAGAGACCATCGCCTCCTTAAAACTTCAAGTTCCATCAAACGGCACAAACAGAAGATGTTTAATCAAAGGTAGTAGTAGGATGATGTGGTCTAGAAAAACTGAATAACTGCTACGAGGAAGGAAACAAATACAGAAAGAAAATAGGATAGCTTATGTTGCAAAACCTTAGTAACTATAAGGCAGGAAACTAACCGGATATTGATCATAGATCAAGTCCCTACGACCTTTGCCTGGGCTTAATGGATGAGTGTGCTCTTTGACAAATTTTGTGACAACCCATTTTCCGGAGCTTACTTTTCTAACTAATATCATCGCTCTGCAACCAACCCTAGTCTCTGCTCTTTGTCGCACTATCTTTTCCCGCTTATCAGGCATTCTAAAGCCCTCCTTATTGCAAACTAGTGCTCGACCAATAGCAGAGCCATCGCGCCTAGATCGCGAAAGCTTGCTAACGCGGATGATAAAGCCCACTCTTGTTGCATATGCATTATAAAACGCATGTGCTGCTGCTTCAGATTCAAACTCCTGGCCGACATAAGGTTCATCTGAAGTTGAATTACCTAGAGATTGTGATTCTTCTAATGGAACGACCTCCCTATCAGAAAGGTCTTCATCTACCTTGACATCATGCACGTTGTGAAGTGCCTCCTCACTGGAACTTCCTCCAACTGCATTTTCATCTACTGCCCTGACTTCTACCACCGTGCCCTCTTCCTCCTCACCTACGATGTGATCATCAACCACAAAGTCCACTGTTGCATCAATTGCATCAGTAATTTGTTTATAGACATAGAAAAAATTAAAACATAGTGTAAATACTCCACTGAAGGATGTACACATTAGAGTAAAGATTATGATTTGCAGTTTGAACAATAGAAACAACTCTATGCATTAGATCCAGAAAAGGACCTAAAAATTTCTCTACAATAATATCATCTAACCTCATCTACTACGACGCAAAACTCTCACTGAGATCTTTCATGTGTATTATCGGGGGGAAAATCTGAAGAGTTCTTAGCACAAATATTTCAATTTATGATGTTTTCAAGCACGATACCTATGAACATGTTTTTAGACAAGTATGAACAAGTGTTTACTGTTGCAGTATTTTTCTTTTGGACAAGGCAAAGTGTTGTTGAAACTGGTTTTAGTGCTTTTAATTATGTAAAGATGAAAGAGAATAACAAAAGATTGCAATCAAGTTGGTCAAAGTTATGCTTTTCCAGCAACAATATCCTGGTCAAAATGATATAGATTGAAGGATGAACCACAACCAAACACTCACTACTGCTTATACATAACAAAAACAACAACTACGCCTCAATCCTAAACACTAACTATTGATACTGTTGGTCTTGGCATATGAATTCTTAATATCCGTTCCTCCATTAGGGGTTCTTAAAACTAGGAATTCTCTAAACCTCACACTTATTCAACAGTTAAAAAAGCTACTCGTGCAAAAACTTCAATTTTTTTGATAATATAAATAATTCAAACTTGGCATATAAAATCTGTTTAACCCATTAGCATAACTAATTCAAACGCCAATTCATAATTAACGCTGTCCCAAGTAAAAATGTTATTTTACACATTAAAAGCTAGATATTTCAGCCTGAAACACCAACCCCCAACTCAAAACTGAAAAAGAAAACACCCAAATACAAGGAAAGTTCACATAACATAAAATCCATGTTCAGCCAATACCGACCACCAAAATTCTGAGATTATTCTCTGGGACTCAATACCCAGGGGCAAAAAAAGTAAAATTTTGGATAAAAATTCAAACTTTGTGCGCTTTTCTACTAAATAAAAGGAGTAGAAAGTAAAGAATCGGAAACAAGGAAACTTACTCAAAATTTAATTTATAACGTAATGAATCCACGTTGTGACGATTCGCAGGAAC